AACATGAAGTGTAACTTAACGAATTCGCAAAAGTAAGTTTGCTTTTGGAACTTTTCTTATCGCATATATAATCATCACATTAAAAAGACTTTTTCGTCTTGAAAAGATATCTTATTAAAAAGAGCAAGATCTGATTGAGGAAGAAAATAGATAAGCACTGTTATCATCATAGAGACAGATAAACAACAAGAAAAATGACTATCAAATGAAGACTAATGCATCATAGACAAGAAGCAAGCCAACGAGATCATCTCTTCTACTGTCAAACGTCGTTCAACTTAAACTTTTCGTTATATTTATGTTGGATAATCGTGAGAATATTCTCGAAACTTCAGTGAGTGTGGGTGGGTGCGGATGTGGATATTCGCTGTTGTTTACCCACACCCTAACATCGATTGAATATTCATAAACACCATTGATATTTCTGTTCTTTTTAATAAATAAAAATAAATATTCACCCTCATCAATGGATGAACGAAAAACTATTCTACAAATCATTATATTAGATCCATAATTTTGACTCTAAATTATTATTAAATAATATAAAAAAATTCTTTTAAAAATAAAAATCAACTATTGCACTTGATCTATTTGAACTTCTGTTTTATTATATTATATTCAATCAATATGATCGTAAAATAGTATTCTTGTAAAACGTTATGTAATAAGTAACAAAAATGATTAAATTTATAAAAATTTCTTTTCATTTTCTTCTTTCAATTATCTCTTATATATGTGTATGTTACTAATCAAAGAGAATAGTCGATAATTTTTGTTTTTGTGTTCTTCTTTCGTTCAGTCATCACTCGTATAATATGATATTGAGTGCACGACATCTCATTTGTTCTTACACATTCAAGATGAAAAGAAAAATAAATTGAACATAACATGTTTAAAGGCAACATAGATATCGTGCACTCAATATCGCAACATACGTCAAAACAACCGGTTGTCATCATACACTGCGTATTAAAATTCCGTCCACGCCGTGTTTCATCGCATGTTTCTGCTTCTGCTCGTTCTTCGTAACAGAAGAACAAAAAATTTTAAAACAAACGGAGCTTTTGAGGGTGGCTCTAAAACAAAATGAACCTTCCCGGAGATATCCGACGTTCTGTTGGTAACCTGTACAGGCGTGTAGATGGTAGGCCTTCATAACATACATTTGTATATGTATGATTAGAAGCATCCGTCTCGTCACCGTCTTTCCGAAGACGATGATCATGGATGTACTAGTCATACATACGTAAATGTGTGTTTGCCTTATCATTGCCGGCTTTGTCCACTGTACAACCCAACAGAATACGGAGGATATGCCTGGTCGCGTGTGCGCGAAATTTTTGTAGTTGGTGCGCTTCGGTGAGCCAAACGTGTTCAAGAAGGCCAACTTATTTTCTCGTTTAAAAAAAAACAATTACATTTTCTTTTTCACATTGTCAATGTTTCTTTTTACACCCGCAATATGTGGATGATTTGAAGGTAGTGATTTTTTCCATATGTCTTGCGCCTTTTCGTAATATGAAAGTGCTTTCGAATACTCGCCCATGTTTCCATACACCAAACCGATGTTGTTGTAGGAAGCAGCCAAGTTGGGATGATTCGGAGGGAGAGCTATTTTTCGAATTTCAAGTGATCGTTCGTGCGATGAAAGTGCTTTCGAGTACTCGCCCATCCTATTATACACCAAACTGATACCTTGGTAGGGACTAGCCAAGTCGGGATGATTGGGAGGGAGAGCTATTTTTTTGATTTCAAGTGATCGTTCATACGATGAAAGTGCTTTCGAGTACTCGCCCATTTGATAATACACCGAACCGATGTTGTTGTAGGAAGCAGCCCAGTCGGGATGATTGGGAGGGAGAGCTATTTTTTTGATTTCAAGTGATCGTTCGTACGATGAAAGTGCTTTCGAGTACTCGCCCATGATATCATACACCACACCAATGTTGTTGTAGGATGTAGCCAAATCGGGATGATTCGGAGGGAGAGCTATTTTTTGGATTTCAAATGATCGTTCGTACGATGAAAGTGCTTTCGAGTACTCGCCCATCCAATTATACACCAAACCGATGTTGTTGTAGGATTGAGCCAAGTCGGGATTATTCGGAGGGAGAGCTATTTTTCGGATTTCAAGTGATCGTTCATACGATGAAAGCGCTTTCGAGCACTCGCCCATCTTAGAATACACATTACCGATGTTGTTGTAGGAAGCAGCCAAGTCGGGATGATTCGGAGGGAGAGCTATTTTTTTGATTTTAAGTGATCGTTCATACGATGAAAGTGCTTTCGAGTACTCGCCCATGTTATCATACACCAAACCGATGTTGTTATAGGAAGTAGCCAAGTCGGGATGATTCGGAGGGAGAGCTATTTTTCGGATTTCAAGTGATCGTTCGTACGATGAAAGTGCTTTCGAGTACTCGCCCATGATATCATACACCACACCGATGTTGTTGTAGGAAGAAGCCAAATCGGGATGATTAGGAGGGAGAGCTATTTTTTTTATTTCAAGTGATTGTTCGTACGATGAAAGTGCTTTCGAGTACTCGCCCATGTTATTATACACCAAACCAATGTTGTTGCAGGAAGAAGCCAAGTCTGGATGATTCGGAGGGAGAGCTATTTTTCGGATTTCAAGCGATCGTTCATACGATGAAAGTGCTTTCGAGTACTCGCCCATGTTATAATACACCGAACCGATATTGTTGTAGGAAGTAGCCAAGTAGGGATGATTCGGAGGGAGAGCTATTTTTTTGATTTCAAGTGATCGTTCAGACGATGAAAGTGCTTTTGAGTACTGGCCCATGTTATTATACACCAAAGTGATACCAGTGTAAGAGGAAGCCAAGTCGGGATGATTCGGAGGGAGAGCTATTTTTCGGATTTCAAGTGATCGTTCGTGCGATGAAAGTGCTTTCGAGTACTCGCCCATGTTATCATACACCAAACCGATGTTGTTGTAAGAAGTAGCCAACGAGGGATGATTCGGAGGGAGAGCTATTTTTTTGATTTCAAGTGATCGTTCGTACGATGAAAGTGCTTTCGGGTACTCGCCCATGTTATTATACACCAAACCAATGTTGTTGTAAGAGTAAGCCAAGTCGGGATGATTCGGAGGGCGAACTATTTTTCGGATTTCAAGTGATCGTTCGTACGAGGAAAGTGCGTTCGAGTACTCGCCCATGTTATAATACACTGCACCGATCTCGTTGTAGGAAGCAGCCAAGTCGAGAAGATTTTGAGGAGTGGTGTTTTTTTTGATTTTGAGTGATTTTTCGTGAAATATAATTGCTTTTGCGTATTCGCCCATATCAGTATACAACCAACCAAGGTAATGATTGTAATCTGATTTTTGCTTATCAGAAGACGCCGTTTCGAGGAGAGTCTTATAAAGTTGTTCTGCTTTCGCAGGCTCACCCAACTTAATAAGTATGTGGCCTAGGCGAGCCCAACCTGTGGCCAAACTATGCTCTTTGCGTAAATGTGCTGTAAGTTTGTTAAAATCATCATCTTGATTACCAGCGAGGGTGAGATTGACTTGCCAGAGACAATCTGTATGCTTATCTTCAATATGTTCTATACGATCGATGCGAAAAATTGTATGTGTCGAAAAAAGAATTTCTTCTTCTTGATCGTCGTAGAAGCCATCATCATTGACATTGACGAAAGGTGTCGATGATGATGTGCAAGGGGCGGTATCTATGTTCATAACGAAGAGGATGCCAACTGAATTCTCATCGAATGCTCTCAGTCGTGCAAAGCTGTCTAAAGAAATCTCACGATTACTACTTGTGGACAAAAAATTATTAAACGACATGAGCCCACCTTTGGTTTTCTTCATTTTTTCAAAGGCTTCCATGGATAAGCCTTGACCACGAAAAACTTGAAATTTCGATGGCATGGCTGCTTTGCTACTTTGTTGTTCGCGATGTAAGTCTGTAATATGTTGATGTAGATGGCGAATAAAAAAGCCCATTTTAAGTATAATGTCGACATCCATTTTTCGAAGACCATGATTGAGCATTGAGTAGATAAAATATGGACCAGTGTACCACCAAATGGGTGTATGATTACGATATTCTTTTTCGATCATTTTAAGTGTTTTTTCGGAAGCATCACTGTGAAGACGACAGTATTCAACGAGTTCCTTAATCGATTTTGTATCATTATCTTCGATTTCCAAAAGTGCTTCTTTTAAGAATTGCGTATACATAAATAACGGATCAATACGATTAAAACTGATCGAGATCATATTTTGATCACAATTTCTTTGGTCGATTTGTAATGCTTCACAAATTGGTTCAATTTCTGTGTACACACCTTTTGCCTTAGATATTGTTTTGATCCATTCCATATGAGTCGCTTGATTATGACATAAAACATAAATGGAGGTTAGTTGTGGGCATTCTTGAATTTCTGGTATTATATGTTGTCCTAGCACATCAGACACAATCATGAATACTTTTTCATTGTGAATGTCAGTGAGAAAATCAATACATTCGTCAACGTCTGTAAATGAAGTGACTGTTGTTGAAATATCATGTAGATGTTGTATTGATTTTTTATAATTGTCTTGGGATTCATCGAAGTTGTCGTCAAGCCAGATCAAAAGAAAATTTTGAAGCATTCGACGAACGGATCGTGACTGTGTGGTACTTCTGCTTACAACTATTGGCGCTCCTGCTGCTGCTGCTGATGATGATGATGATTTATTTGGCTTACTTGTTGTAGATGATGATTTACTAGCCATTGATTTAGAATTTTTCTCGTCCACTTTAATGATAATGACGATGATGGTAATAGTCTTCTGATTTTTTTTCAACTTACGTATATGAATGAAAACGTGGATACTTGTTACACACCGTATGAATCAACAAAACAAAAACATTTCATTTCTGTCTCGAAATATATTTCGGTTTTCTCTTCCTTTTTATGTTGACACTTTTATATTTGTTTGACTGGTAGCTGTCGACTTCAAGAGTTCTTATTCCGATTGCTGTATTTTTATTGCAAAGGTGTTGCTGACAGAACATAGCAGGCAAACTATGTGTACATGCATCAAACATGAGTCAAGGAAGAACAAGAACGAAATATAAAAAAAAAAGAGAATTGCATTATCATCATTCATAATAGAAAAGAGAAAAAAACGAAAAATTTAAAAATAAGACAAAAAAATTTTGTTGTTTGTTCTTTCTGTTTTTCTTTTTAGTTGCCTCAGGTTTCATCAATCAAGGATAATGCATAGCAACCTATTATGAGTGAATGATGGCTTCTACTGTTGCCAACATGCTCTTGTTGATGTATGTTTCCATGTTCATTAGTGCATTGAGTGAATAAGTCTTGTTAAATCCAAAGTAACAAGAAAAAAAAGAGAAACTACCGTTTCTGCTAGTTCGTTCAGCTCATCTACATGCACACAGCTAATTTCACTGTGTTTTGATTCATTGTACGATCTATTTCAATCATCCATCGTCAGTATGATGGGTTTAAAGAAAACTTACAGTGTACATTCGCGCTCTAATACAATAGAAGTTTTTTTAGTTGTTGGATGGAGATAGTTCTCTTTTCTTTTATTGAATTGGCTGTATTATGCTCAAATTATTATGTTTTCTTTTGAACTTGGCATCATCATCTCAACAGATTAGAGAAGAAGAAAAATAAAAATAAATTCATGAGAAAATGAATCAATGTTATTTGCATTCTTGCCAAGGATTTGTTTGTTTGTTCTTCATAATCAGACTATGTATCATACAGATATTATTCTAACAGATTTTCACTAATAATAAATTTATTTTATTTTTGTAAGAAAAAAATGAATAAAAAAACATGATTTGTTTCTTTTTTATGTTTTTTTTTGTGTTATTTATATATAGTTTAATAGAATCTATGATATACAAGCATATATTACAATGTACAACAACAACAAGAAAACATATATTATAGTTTTTATCTATTAAAAATATGATATTGTCGATAATGATGGCATGATGAATTTGTTAGATTATTATTTGAAAATATTGATTGAAAACATCGTTAATAAAATTTAAAAAATCGATCATACTGTTTTAGACATTATCATTTATAATTCTAAATATATAACAGTGTAGAAGTACTATTATTGTAATATAAATTAAAAAGTAAAGTAAACATACTCATTTTTCTAAACATAATGAATTTTGCTTGTAAAAATGAAAATCTACAAATGACACGGTTTACGTTGAAATATTTTTGTGTAATCAAGACTATCTAATGATTCATCAATGACAATAAACATAAAACTGAAAACAAGAATATGCAAAAAAGAAAAGAGGAAGAGAGTTTTTTTGTATTACTTATTGAACACGATTATCAATAATTTTATTTATTACAAAAGGGCGTAAGTCTGGGGTGTGGGTGTCGACTGTGGGTGTCAACTGTGGTTCTTCTATTCATCAACACTCACACCCCACATGCACACGCACACGCACACCCACACCCACACCCTCACCCACACCCACACACTCACACCCACCCACCCACACCCACACTCACATCCACACCCACACCCACCCACACCCTAATTGGCGAAAGTCAAAATTGGCGAAGTTCCGAAATCCTCACCCCACCCTAACAATAATTCCACCCGAAATATTTTTTGGAAATTGAAATAAATCGACCATCCATTGAATAACTTGTCTTTCAATTAAAACTTCACTATGACCACAAAGATCAACATTGGAATTCATTGTTGCTGTCATCATTTCAGCGACTAAAGCACCAACTGTACCTGATCCATGTATTCAACCCCAAAATCTTGGATGTGTATTATCACCACAAGAAGATAAAACATCTTTCGTCATATCTTCACAAACTTTTTTTAAACTTTTTCCTTCTTTTAGTAAATTTTCTTTTGTGAGATGTTGTTGAACTTCTGTTGGTAGTGGTAACCATGCGGGTTTTTCACGAGATTTTTCAAGAACATCTAATGCTATATCAAGCATTTGATGTGCTTGTTCACGTGTTGATTTCCAATCGATTGGATCTAAAGTCATTCAATGAAATTCTTCATTGGATTTTTTCTTCATATCATTCATTGATAAAGAATTTGATAGTTGATGAAAATAATTGAATAAGAATGAATTATCTTCCGCAATAGTTTCATCATATGATTGACGGATATAATCATTGAATACTTCAATAAATTGTTCTTCATTACTTTCAAATATAAAATATTCTCATGAATTCAGTTGTATTTATATATATTGAGTAGAGAATGACAATGTAAAAAATAATGATGACATGCACTTTTACTAAAGTCAAACGATCATCATGATGATATAACAGTATGTTGTAGAGAAAAGATGAATGCATTGTCATTTCTGTCCAAAGATCTATCTCGAATATTTCATTAGATATACTTCCATCATGTATTGAAGAAATGACTAAAAAATTTGAAATTTTGTTAATTAGTTGATTGAATGAGTGAAAAAAAGCAAGACAAATGAAAACTGCACCCAAAGAAAAAGTTGTCATCACCTGATAAGAAGAATACATTTATATAAAAATGACATAACAAAAAGAAAAAACTTGAGTCATTATTGAATGAAAATAAGATGAAATATGTCTGTAAAGATCCCAATCATTGCATTTCAAAGGTGTCTAAGCTGCAGATTTTTCAGAGTTAAATCAAGAGTAAATTTGATGTATTTGTTGAAATATAAGCGTTGAAGAATAATTTTCTTTTTCTTTAGTTGAAGTTGAAATTGTCATTGAATAAACGATTACTTTTGCAAATACAGAATAAAAAAAGAAAATCAATGCTTCAAATCTTTTTTTTTCTTTCCTTCAAAAATCAACATGAGAATTTTCTCTCATTCTTTGTTTATATCTAACAAAATTTCTTTTTCTTTAAAAAAAAATCTCAAATTTTCATCCTCATGCTTCGAATTAGAAATTAGTAAGATTCACTAAAATAAAAATCAAATTTTTAATAATTTTCGATATTTTCAGTAAAATATATATTTTATTAATATTTATTGGAATATTATTAATATTAAATCTCTATAAATTACAATTAACTTCATCAGTTATAAAATCAAGTTGATGGAAAAAAGATCGTCTTGTAGTAATTCCAGCAATATATAAGGAAATCGATTGGTTAAATCATTCCAAATGGCCGGAATGGTTACGTTATGGACTTGATTTATTTAATAAAAATCAATCAAGAATATATGATGTTTATTTATATCAACGTTTTGATCCCAAGTCCAATCCACCATTTAATTGGCCATATTCGATCAATGTTCATGAAGAATCCGGTATTTATTTAAAATTCATTTATGACTTCTATCATGATTTACCAGATAAAATGTTATTTATTCATGCAAATCCATTTCAACATACATTACATCCATTTGAAGCA